CGCTTTAAAGTTGATAAACGTATTTGAACAAGATTTTCATCCAAAGATCCCCACTCACAAATTTTTAATTTGGCCATGATGACTTTGATGTGTTGCAAAAATGATTGTGCATTTTCATATTTTGCTTTTTGATTATCCAATGTTTTTTTGACAGTTTTCAAAGTATTGAACCAAGCGGGATCATTAAATAATGGCCATGGAAAAATAGTTAATCCACCTTTATACATTCTGGTAATAAAATTATCTTCTCCTTGATCTCTAAGTAAGTCATCAAATTTGAAACAAAACTCATCAACAATTCCTTTTCGATCATTTTCATGAACATCTTTAATTATGATACAAAGTTTTGCTTGAAAAATGTTTGAGTAAGATTTAAAAAGAGTTGCACCATCTTGAAGTCTTTGAAATATTTCTGACATGTCTCTACTAATGGCAAATTGGCTCTTAAAAAGTATCAAATTTGAAACCATTGTGTTGAACAAAGTTAAAAATAAGTCTTCTTGTGGTGTTCTTTCCAAAGACTTTAAACATTCAAAATCAAGTGCAACATAAATACTTTTCTTAGTTATAGCTAAAGACATCCACACTCCCTTAGTGGATTTCTCTCCAGAACAATCAAATGTTGTTCCAACAAGGTGATTCAACATATATGATTTTCCACATGATTGTTCACCCATACTTGAAACAACTTTAACTTGTCGATCACCAAAATGTTTAAAAATATTTTCATACCACCCAAGAGAAATATTTTCTGCAATACCATTAAAATGACATCCATATTCAGCATCAAAATCTATATCATGATCATTTGAAGATAAACCATCACAAAGTGGTTGAAATTGATTATTTTTAACAACTGCTATTTGAATTGGTATCAAACATGAAAGCTGAATTACAAAATCTCCTAGCTGATATTTATTTGAATGTTTTGATATAAAATTATTTTCTTCGATGTCTAGTTCTGAAAATGTTGCAACAGTAGTTTTAAAATGCTTTAAAATAGATGCAGGTTTTTTAGTTTTCTTTAATTCATTGAACATACTAGTAACATATTTTACAAACTTTCTATCATAATTTTCATCTTTAGAATTATCATTTATATCAAGGACAATTTTTAAATTAAGTGGTTGGTTTTGCTTAGGATCAATGCAACTTTCAATTGGATATTTTTCAAACATTAGTTTATATGCATCTATAAAACCATTAAGTTTTGTCTTGGGCTCAATTTGAAAATCAACCCATGTATCATCATCAAGTGATAAGGTCTGGAATACACCTACAACTTTCAATTCAGTATTTGAAATTATATCAACAACACTTAATTTTTCTTCCTTAATAACAATGTATTCTCCTTTTTGTACTGTGTGTTTAAAACTAGTGTTTTTTCCTTTTAAACTTGAATACTTGTTATTGTTAAAATCAGTGAAAATTCTCAGCAACTTGACTTGACCATTTGGTTTTTTTTGATTACACTGCTGAAATTGGTATTGGTTTTTTTGAAGGGTGATTTGTGTAATTAATGAATGAAATAAATTATTTTCTATATCAATTGCTGTAAGATGCATTTGATGACCATTTATAGATGAAAATTCTAATGAATTCATATTTGAAGGTAGCTCAACAACTTTTATTTGAATTGAGAAAAAATAAGAATGTTAAATGTAAATAATTAATAAAATAAACATTCTAAATAAATCAGTTCAATTTACCCTTATTAGCAGTGTTTCCCATATTTGAACAAAAATAAACATAGGCTTTAAATACATCATTTGGAATTAAATAATCATTTTCATCATCATTAGATGTTGTTGATTTTTCTCTCACAAATACTACAATACAAGAACCATCAGGTGTGCTTGAAATATTTGTAGAATCTGGAGGAAATTGTAGTGTTGCAGGACGAAATTGACCAGTTATAAGATTATAAATTTTTGCTCTACCATTAGTTTCCACAAAACATAATTCTTCAGTGTTTTTTATGAAAAAAAAATATTTAATATCTGGTGCTGAATTATTATAATATTGTAGAATTTGGATATTGGGGTTGCGACCATAAAGACTGCCTTGATTTTCATCAAATGCATAGACATCTAGCTAAAAAATTTTTGTTTGTGTAAATAATAGAAAGATATATATATATATTACTTACAATTTAATCATTATAATGGATAAATATAAAGAAAAAATATATATTACCACTCCTTCTTCAGCAACATAAGTTCCAATTAAGCCTTTGGATTCATTTATAGCAAAAAGACAATCACCATCAGGGTTTAAAATTTTTAATGGTTTTAAATTTGATAATTGAAAAACTGATTTTAAGTGATTAGAATTTTCAAAAAAAAATTCTATTTGATTTAATTTTTTATTCTGAAGTATTACTAGGAACTTTCCATTTTCAAATTGAGATATTTTTCTAAAAAAACATTGCTTTATTAATTCAATTCTGTGATTTATATTAAAATATCAAATAATTTATTACCTAAGTTCATATATTTCTAGATTTATTTCAAAGGAAGTATGTGAATTCTTATTGCTGTCAAGATGAAGTTTTGGAACATATAGCTTATTTTTTTGGAGATCTAAATTTTCAGATTCATCCAAGCCTGTTTCATATAATGTAACCTTCAGTTGATCAGGTTGTGATGATTCAATTTCATAAGTAAGTTTTAAATCCTTATAAAATATTGTTTCTGATTAAAAGGTAGATTTTTGTTAATAAACTTCAATCAACAACAAAGATTAATATTTAATTGGGATTACCTTTAGCTTCTATAATTTTAAAGGTTGGTCTGTAATTTTAAATGAAAATATTAATAAAAATTTCATAGCATAAAAATCATTTTAAAAATTTTAAAAGTAATTTACATTACCCATTTGAAAATTTTTCTTCAAGCAATTGGCAAACCCTTGTGAGTTCATAGTTTTCTATTGCTTTAATTCTTTGTGATAATTTCTTGTTTAATTTTTCTTCATATTGTATTTTGATGATGTTTGTATATTTTGGCATTATATTTTTGATATTCTCAGAAAAGTCTTTCCTCCATTTTTTAAATTCATTAAGAAAAGAATTAACAATTCCATTCCTCTTTTCTTGTGAAATATTAAATAATTCAGAATTATATAGTTCATTAACAAATTCAGAGTCAGATATTTGATTTGCCACTTGTTCAGCTTTTTGAATATTCTGTTCAATAACATGAGGTTCAATAACATAAGGCTCAGGACTTGGTCCAGCAGTAATGAATGAAAAAGAAGATGTTAAAATTCTTTGGGATTTTTCTGCATGTTTCTTTGCTAATATAGTAAAGTCTGTTTCATCATCAGCAAGCATATTGTAAAAAATTTCAGAAACATAACTTTCCACTTTATTTGAGCCAGGATTATCTTTTGGCTCAAGGTTGTCTTTGGAATTAGTATTGTTTTTTAAATCAGAATTGTTGTTTTGTTTCTTAGTAAATATTTCCATATTTATAAGTAAACAAAATTGAAATTTCTTTTTCCAAAATTTCCAGGTTTTTGATTTTATTACAATAGATTCCTCTATTTTTTTATTTATATCGGGATATTTTTCATGGATTTCTTTAATTTCTATTTAGAATTAATGAATGTCAAAAAATATATCAATATTTAAATAATAATAATCATAAATAATAAATAATAAATTTTATATCTTACTTGAATCTTTAAATTTGGGTATTGCATTATCATCATTAATAGTTTCTTCAAATTTACTATATATCAAATCAATAAAAGTTAAAAGCCATCTAATAAAAAAAAATATTTTAAGCAAGAATTATACCTGTAAGTTTCTTTTAATTTCATCCATGCTAAGTTTGTAATGATTTCTGCATCTGTTCTAATTTCATCCTTTATATTTTCTTTTTTCTTTCTTGTTGTTTCCTTTTCAGTTCTTATAGACTCTTCATAAGATGACAATTGCGCCTTTTCACTATCTAAGCAAAATTCAATAAACTTTTTTAATAATGACATGTCCATGGAATTTTCTTCAATCTTGAGGGAATATCCTTTGATAAGCTCTTTAAATGAATTTCTATTATGATTTTTTGAATAAGTTTCTGAATATCTTTGTATTGTTGGGGATGTCTTGATAACCTTTTGAGTGATAAATGTCTGATGTGATGCAGATTCAACAACTATTTAAATAAAAAAGGTAAGCTAATAGAATCGAAAACATTGAAACAGAAATAGTGATAATACCAGTAGGTTGCATAGAAATTTCATTATGATGAGTGGTCTTAAGGTCTGATTGAATGTAATTTGGTAGTTGGACCTAATATTTTTATTACATAATAAGTTAACATAATAAATAAATTCATAAATATAAAGAAATTTTCTAACCTTAAAACCTTCATGTAACTGGAAATTCTCTTTTTCTTCTTGATATTCTTTGACTTCGAATTCATAACATGCACAATCATCATCATCATCATCATTTTTGCTACTGTCACCACTATCATCACTGTCATTGTCCCTGTCATTTCTTATTTCCCATTCAAAAGATTTTAAATCACTGTTGCTCATTAAACATATTTGGTGATCAGTCAGTTTTGTAAGGTACCTATGATAAATGTAATTGTTAACTCATTTATTATAATGTGATGGATTAATAAAAATTTTTTTATTTACCTGTGAAAGTTGACCATATTTTTTTTCAGCTGATCAGTTGCATTGTCTTCATAACAACCAGGCTCAGGCCAATGGATTACTAAACCTAAATTAATATTCACAATCAGCAAATAGATTCCTGAACGAAGAGAGGGACTCCCAATTTTATTTGAGGATACAAGCAGATCATACCTAAAATTTATAAATATGTTAATCATGAACAATAAAGAATTATGGAAAGAAAAATTAATTTCAACTTACACTTTTTGGTTAATAATTTTTTTATTTAATAACAGCTTTGCAATCAATTCATAGTTCCCATAGCAGCCAACAAGATTGAATGAGACACTGTTCAATTTATTATAATTAATATTTGAAATAGATTTAAAGCTCTTGGGAACTAATTCATTACAAAGCCTTTCTAATGATTCCTTTGATATGATTATTTTGTTAACTAAAAAAATAAATTATACCAATAAATATCTCATATGATATTGACAAGTCACATTATTAATTAATTCTTACAAATAATTAAAATACATACCGAGTCCATTTGGTCCTTCATCATTTTTTAGATCTAACAATAGATACAACCCAGGAATATAATCTAAAATATCTTGTCCATTTTTAATATTATTCAAATTAGCATATAAATTTACACGATTTGAAAATATCTCTAAAACTTTTTCCTTATGAACATCTGATGTTCTAGTATTGGTGGATGATTTAATGGGGTTGGCCAAACTTTCTGTATCAAAAGGATCAAACGATTCATCCGAATTTTCAGATTCTGAATTATTGCACGTTGTCTTGACTTTGTTGAATAAAATTGTATCCATACTATTGTTAAAGTTTTTTGGATCACCAATAGTAAGTATTTTATTTGGTTAAAAGGTAATGAAATAAAGAATCAATCGATTCTTTTAAATATTTCGTGAAAACGTACCATTCTTTCCAAATAAAGAAAAGATTATCGGCGAACACAGAGATAAGAATCAATAATCATCATATATTGAAAAGAAGTCGCCTCACACTTTATTTTTAAAGAAAAAAAAAACATTATGTTGACTTGCCATATTATGAGTCATGTAGTCGATAGAGATTGAATTTCTAACACTGATGATATTAAATTCCGTGTTTCTTTTGTTTTTTCTTAAAGAATCATTATCAACAGCAGCAGTAACAAATCACCAACAGCAATCTTCTTTATCACTACTACCACCACAATCACAATCACAAGTAGATTATATTCCTTTGGACGGGTAATAATGACTGTTTTGTTTTTAATAAACCTGAATTTTTTGGTGTTAATCCACAATTAAGAAATAAAGTATTAAGTAAACCGGTATAACTATCACAAACAGTATGCTCAAATAATAAGTATTCAAAAAAGTTGCACTTAGTTTAATAAGATGCTGGAACAATTGCTACCATCACTGTCAGACACATGGGCAGTTTTCTATACAATAGCAAACTCGAAAAGTACCATCACAATCTTTCGTTTTTATCCTTAAAGAAATTTTTTTTTTCAATGAAAAGAAATAGGATATCTTTATTAAAATTTTTGGGCAGGATGTTTAAATACAAAATTCTGATGAAATTTACATACGTGAACTTAAAAAAAAAAATTTCTTTATTGTATGATAAAGATTTAATACGTTAATTGATTGCTATAAAAATCCTAGATTTTTATATTCATTTACTATATCCAGAAAATATTATACTATTTAATATAACGCCGAATAAACCCAATATAATCCAATCATATATTACAATCTGATCTGACTTTAAAATCATCAATCCAACCCACTATTGCCATAATGAGTAATCAATTATTGATGGCGAGCAGATCAATTTGATAGTCGAACATTTATTTATATTATCAAGTACTTTAAACAATCGATTGAGTATCAAGTTCATCTGTATATATTTGTTTGACAGATAACTCAATAAGTCGGCCTCTTTATAAGTCAGATTTGACTAACTCGGTCAAAATTTTTCAGTCCTCTTGATAAGTCCGCCAATATATATAAAAACGCGATAATCTGTCCAACTCTTCTTCTTAGAATATATGTAAATTGCTCTCGGTAAGTCGGTCTCACGCGATATTTTCATCATCCATCATTACAATATGATTATATCATATTATTAATATTTTATTATCCGATCATTTATATCATCTATTATCTTGTTAGTTACATCAATTGATTGTATCATTTATTATCTTAGAAAAAACGTTTCATGAAAATACATTTGTATTTAATTATCTCATTAGTTATATCATTTATTATCTCATTTGATAATTTAGTAAAGAAGAAAAATCATTTCTTTTTTGTATAGTGAACAATGCATTTATGTTTTTATTATATTTTGTATGTATAAAAAGGTTGATTTCACAATTTTTCCGAATAATTTATATAAAGATCAGTGTAATCTTTATAATTATGAATAATTTGATATTAAAAAAAGCCACATGCCCTTGATAAGTCGGTCCATCGTGTCCAGCCATTCATGACGATTTATGTATTTTCCAAATATTTATGATGATAAATAATCAACTCGGTATTCTGAAAATTTTCTTTAGTAGGTGGCGAACAGTCTGATACAAGCCATATTGATTTATCACCAAATTCAAGTTCATAAAGTTCATGAAGTCCATTGCCATCTATCAATAAAGTTAATTGATAAAGATTTATTAAAAAATATGATTCAATAGTAAATTTCTTATCTAAATATTCTGTTACAAATATGTGTAGTAAGCAAATTTCTCATTGGGGCTTCGTCGCTGAGAAATTCTTACAATTCCTTTCTACGCAGTTAAAATTCTTTAAAAAACTAGAGTAGCGACTTGATTTTGATAAGTGTAACCCCTTAATGAATATATTGACTGTGATCACTAACTACACGATTATGATTTGTTACACGGATTTGAAATTTTGATATATAAAATTGTGGAAAAATAGTTCTTTTAGGAATAAATATTTTTTTGACAATTATACATAAAATTTTACAGATGAGAAACACTTTAAATAAACATCATGATGATACTTCTACTGACAAAAATGATGATGATGAATATTTAAAAATAAGATATGAAGTATTTGGGAAATGTCCAACTTGCTATAGATATAATACTAATGGTTCATGGTGTCAATCATGTGACCCAAAGCTATTAACTGAAGGATGGACTAGTGGTAATGAAAAATTAGATGAGTTGATTAAAAGTACACAATTTAAAGCAACAAGATATAATAATTCTTATTATCTTCAATGGATTCCTTATAATGATTTAACAAATGTTGAAAAGATAGGTGAAGGTAGGTTTGCAACTATATCAAAAGCTACTTGGTTAAATGGTTGGAAATATATAAATATTAAAAGATATAGTAAAAATCGGACTGTGGTATTAAAAAAATTACATAATTCACAAAATATTTCTGATCAACTTCTTGACGAGGTGAATTATTTTATTTTTCTATTTATTTTTTTTCAAATTTTTAAAATATTATTCTGAAATTCAATATATTTACTTTAGTTCAGAAATTATGTTACATTTTATGATAAATCGTTTATAAATAAAATTTATGGATTAACACAAGATCTGGTTACAAAAGAATATATCTTTGTAATGGAGTACATGGAAGATGGAAGTCTTGAAGATTATGAAGATCAATATTCAAAAAAAAGAAGAGAATATCATGGGGTATGTCCAACCTGCAATAAATATAATACTAATTATTCATGGTGTCAATCATGTGATCCAAAGCTATTAACTGAAGGATGGACTAGTGGCAATGAAACATTAGATGAGTTGATTAAAAGTACACAACTTAAAGCAACAAGATATGGTAATGATTATTATCTTCAATGGATTCTTTATAATGATTTAGCAAATATTGATAAGATGGGTGAAGGTGGCTTTGCAACCATATATGAAGCTACTTGGTTAAATGGTTATAAAAATGTAGATTATGTAAATGTCAAAAGAACTACTAAAGATATGCATGTGGCATTAAAAAAACTACATAATCCACAAGATATTTCTGATGAACTTCTTAACGAGGTAAATTATTTTATAAATATTAGTTTCAGATTTTTTAAAATATTATTGTTGTAATTAAATATTTGATTGTTTAAAAATTATATGAAGCTTAAAGATGATACAATTCACTTATATGGATTAACACAAGATCCAATTACAAAGGAATACATATTTGTAATTGGTTATAAAAATGATGAATATTCAATGAAAAGGGATAAAAAATATGGCAAATGTCCAACTTGCAATAAATATAATACTAATTATTCATGGTGTCAATTATGTGATCCAAAACTATTAACTGAAGGATGGACTAGTGGCAATGAAACATTAGATGAGTTGATTAAATGCACACAACTCAAAGCAACAGGATATGATAATTCTTATTATCTTCAATGGATTCCTTATAATGATTTAACAAATATTGAAAAGATAGGTGAAGGTGGCTTTGCAACAATAAACAAAGCTTCTTGGTTAAATGGTAAAAAGTATCTAGATGATAAAAAAATATATTGTAAAAATAGGGCTGTGGTATTAAAAAAATTACATAATTCACAGAATATTTCTGATGAATTTCTTAATGAGGTAAATTATTTTATTAATATTAGTTTAAGATTTTTTAAATATTATTGTTATAATTAAATATTTTATTTGTTATTTTAGTTCAAAAATTATATGAAGTTTTATGATAATGAAGATATAATTAAAATTTATGGATTAACACAAGATCCAGTTACAAAAGAATATATATTTGTAATGAAATATATAAAAGATGGAAGTCTTCAAAATTATTTAACAAAAAATTTTAAAAATTTAAAATGGGAACATAAAATTAAGATTCTTGGACAAATTATTGAAGGTTTAAAAGTTATTCATGAAGAAAAAATTATTCATCGTGATCTTCATAGTGGTAATATTCTTCATTCTAAAAAATTTGTTGAGTCATATATTACAGACTTGGGGTTATCATGCCAAACTAGTCAAACATTATTATCAAACAAAAATAATATATTTGGAGTATTACCATATGTTGCACCAGAAATTTTAAGTAAGAAACCATATACAATGGCATCAGATATATACAGTTTTGGAGTTCTGATGTCTGTAGTATCAACTGGCCAACAACCTTTTAATAATTTAGCACATGATATAGATCTTGCAATGAAAATATGTAAAGGTGCAAGACCAGGATTCTCAAACAACACACCAAAATTCTATATTGAATTAGCATTCAGGTGCATGGATGCTAATCCAAATAAACGTCCAACTGCTGAAGAAATTTCCAAGATTATTAATTCTTGGAGTTCATTTATTGGAGGTTGGGGATACTCAAAAGATCCAAAAAAACGTAAGGATGAAAAATCAATCAGAAAAATGTTTTATGAAATGGATAACATAAAATTTGATCCTTTGACAATTACCACAGCAATTCATCCAGATGCAATTTATACAAGCAAATTATTAAAATTTACAAACCTTCCCCAACCTGTAAATTCTAATAAAGTGACAATTATTGGTAATAATAATGGTAATTATTAACATTTAATCATTGATAATTTTTAAATTTATGATATTTATTAATATCCACTTTTTTTTTGATAAACATTTTGAATTAACAGATTCTAAACAAATTGAGTTGAATTTACCAGATGAATTACCTGAGTAGGTAAAATCTTGCCATTTCATTATGTATTAAAATTATGGCTACTATAGTTGTGATATTAAATATCTAGAAATGAAATTATTATGAACTCTTTGTTTTTCTCTCATTGACATTGAAATGAGGTAAATAATTCCACCTTGTGTTGGAACATTATGGGTCCGAGTATTTTCCTCCCATGCAAGTGCTCTGACAATTCTTTAACTTATATTTTTATAAATTATTTATGTATTTTTCTATCATTAGTTGAATTAAAATAAAAATAATTTTCTTTTGTTGTTTAATTCATTGTCCGTAAAAAAATTGCAAGTCATGTGCCCACTAATTTATCATTGGCCCAAATTACTTATAGAAACAATTAATTGTAACTATTACAATCTAAATCAATAAAAAAAAGAAAAAATAATTAATTTTAAAAGTTTTCAATTTTTTAAAAAATGGCTACCATCGAAAAAATTGAAGAACAACTGAAGAAGGCAAAAGAAGAATATAATGAAGCAAAGGAGATGTTAAAACAGTTCAAGGAAGATGGAAAGGTGAAGGAGTTGAACGACCTGGAAGATAAGTTGTTGGATGAAGATTGGAAGGACAATAGAGAGAAGAGAAAGTGGGAAAGACAGAAAGGCAGGTTGGAGGAAGAAAGGGCAAGTTGGGAGAAAAGGAGAGATGACTTGGAGAAAGAAGTGTTGGATTGTAGAAGAAAATTATGTGAATTCAAGGGAAAAGGTAATGAACAAAATGTGTAAAAAAAAAAAAATTATTTTCCATTTCGTTTATTTTTTTACCATTTGTATATTGTTTATGACATTGACTAACTTTTGCTTTTTTTTTCTGCATTCTGTAAATTATCTTATTATTCTATATACTTTATCAATTTGCTTATCATTAATAATTATTATGAAATACTACAACCATTTTAGATACAAATGAATTCAGAAAAAAGTATACACCAAGGCTTGGTAAGAAAATATATACATTCTTTTTATCTCTCTTTTATATCATGTATGACTTAATTAATTTATGGATTAGGTGGTATGGGTGGAACATCATATGGAGGCAATGAACTTGGTCATGGATATGAAGGTATAAATATCTCTGATCCAATCATATGCCAAAGAACTTTCACAATAAATAAACTGAAAGAATGCTTGTTCAAGGAGAAAATAATTCTAATTCAATCACCACCAATGGCTGGTAAAACTTCACTTGCACAACTTCTTGAAAAACAACTTTTGACTGATTGTCCTGATATGAGAATCATTAGAATTTCATTATTGTGGATGGAGGATGATGATTCAAATTGGAAATTTTCTGACTGCTTCAGTTGGCTCATGGGAGGAACTGGTTGGCATCAATTTGCAGCAGAGTGTTCACATATTGAAATTGTTTTAATTGTTGATGAGGTACAAAAACTTTATAGGTTAGACTCAGAAAATGCTGAACCACATCATGAAGGAAAAGAATTTTGGAACACATTTAAGGATATCCAACAATATAGTAGACTATATATTGTAGCATTTGCATCTTATGTTTATCATGGTGCATATGATTATAGTCCAAACAGTGATGATATTATGAAAATTTCACCTTTTCAACTGAGTGAACATAACACATGGGGATTTAAAGAGATTCGGTTCACTTCTGAAGAATACAATGATTATGTAACAAATTTTTCTAGAAGTAAGTTGAATTTATCGTCACAACAGGATGAAGATAATTTGCTAAATTATATTAGACAATGTACTTTATGTCACCCAGGATTAGTCACATTCATATTAAATCACATATTTGAAAGATTTATATCTCAGATTAAACAAAATGAAAAAAGATTAACATTTTCTGAAATATTTAAATATTTAAAATCATATAATTTTTATGCAAATTTAATGGTAAGGAATGATTTGTTATTATTGTATTTTTTGAAATTCTGGTTGTAATAATGAACTTTTTTCTTTTGTCTGTGATTTTAGGGAGCCAGGACTGCTCTTGGCCTTAAAAACATGGACAAAGATGAAACATATTTATGTGATACTGTATTGTTTAATCCAACTGGAATACCAATCTGTCTTGAGACAGTCCCTAATTATGGACATTTATATAAGACCAATTTATTATCAATTGTAGCTTCTGGGCCCAATGATAAATTCCTTGATTTTGCAGCTCCTTTACTTAGAGTTGCATATTTACAAACCAGGGTGGGTTCAACAAATCATTCAACTAAAGCACCAGAAACATTTAGGGATTTTTTGAAATTGACATTTGTCAATATGAATCCGGAAACTTTTTGCAAATCCCTTGATGTTGGTAGTGATGGTCATCTTCTAGAAAGGGTATTTTCAAATGGAGTTTTATCGCTCTGCTACATATGTTCTTCCACAAGATGTTTTCATTTCAGTTGATGTTGGTGCAGTATTTGGTGATGATGGTTATGTTGATTTTTATGTTGATGATAAAAAAGATTGGGCAATTGAACTCTTACGTGACAGTCAGAACATTAAAGAACACATTAATAGATTTCAAAAAGGTGGCAAATATGATTCAATCATTGATATTGCCAAAGAATATGTAGTTATCAATATAACCCAGGATAAACAATATTCATCATTTTTTTCTGGAAAGAACTACATATATATAGAATTTAACCAAGACTTTAATAAGGTGGTTATGAATTTTCCAGATGGGGAGAAAACAGAAATGTCTTTAGGAGGTAGTAGAATATTAAGTGTTGAAATGCAATTTTGATTTATGTAAGATAAGTGGACAAGTAAAACAAATGCATATCATCAAATAAATGCTCTTTTTAATTCAGTGTCAAATAAGCATTAAAATAACTCTAAACTTTCATGAAAACAAGGGTTATGCAAATAATTAATACTAATCAAATAAAAATAAAAATAAAAATAAAGCTGTTTTGACTTTCTTCTGTCTTTGATGCTAACTCAGACTGGTATCTCATTCCTCTTTTTTCTATATATTATTATTATTATTATTGATCAACGAACGGGTTATGTTACGCAAAAATTGGTTATTGTTAAGGCAAACTAGGCAAACAAATTTAATTTACAAAAAAAAAAAATAGTAGATCAAAACCAAAACCAAAATCATACAATCGATCCCAAGTAAGGAAAAAAGCAATGTTACAGGTTTTGAGCAATTTTTTATAAGTGTTAAAAAAAAAATAAATAATAAAATCACATGATCAGATTGATTGATCAGATTGATGTTAGATTTGGGGTGTTGTGGATTCTTCCGTGACGATTCACTATAATATTGTTATTGAGGTGTGGCTATAACTATTAAATGTTGTTCTCAGGAACTAACAGCTACATGAAAAGCAAATGCGGTGACCTGTCAGCACAAACGGTCTAATTTGATTAAATATGAGGTATTTGTTTATTTAAATTATTATTAATGTATTTTTGCTATTTAAAATTAATCATTCAAAATAACCAATAAAAAATAACATTACAATGACATGGAAAAAAAAAAAACAAATAAACTCATGAAATTTTAAAAATAAAGAATTTGTATAATGCATCAATTTGTTACTTGAAACTAATGATATGAGTTGGCTAAGAAGTTTATCGCCAATTGGCTAAATTAATTAGATGATGAAAAAAATTTCACTCACATTTATTTTACACCTGGAATTTTAATGCAAAATTTAATGGAAATGGATCCATCTGTATTACTTAGAAAGATAAAAGAAAAAACACATATTTGCTCAAAAAAAGGTATAATACTCATGGCAGGGTATTATCTAGGATTTCTATTCGTAATAATAACAGTAAATAGTAATAGTATTATTTCGTAATATATTTTGATAAAAAATCAAATTCGATCATTTATTATGACGAATTTAAAAGTTGAATATTTGTCTACTATCTTTAAAAGACAAATAGGCGAGTCTATTTGACTGTAAAACAACCTTTACTTAGCACGCAAGGTATATTTATTTGCGTAGTATAAATCAACAAAAACGTGTCGTGTTTGAGCATTAGTTATTATCCAAGTTAAATCACACATAAAACAAGATAATTTTGTATGAGGAACAACATTTAATTAGCACATAATATTGGTCATCGCACCAGTTTTTTAAAAATTCGCCTATTTTCAGCTAATTTTTAAAAATACAATTGATTCTCTCTCTCTACCTGTGTCTATATATAGGAAAGTTAATTTTTTAACAACTAATGATCTGACGGAATATTATTGTGAGTGAGAAATTGTTTAGAAATTGTTGAAATGGTAAATATGATAAAAAGAGAAAATATTGAAAATACTGTATAATTAACTAAAATAAAACTTTACATTTACTCTTAAATTTATATTCACTTGTTCATCTAAGATTTTTCATTGAAATGTCGATGATAGTCAGCTTCAGTTCGTAAATGCCAACTCGAGTGTCGAAGATAAATCATTGTCGATTAGTAGGTAATCAAAAAATGGTGAATTTAAAAATAACATTCCTGAAAATGTCTAACGATAATTATTTCTCATCATTGGAAATCATTACTCTTATTTAATATTAACAATACCCTCCTCCCTACCATTAAAATATTTCAATAAGCAAGTAAATGATAAAATCCATTTTCTACTATCAAATTTCTAGCTTTATTAAATCGTTGATAACTGTAGACAGGGCTGGTTTTTAAAAGAATCAAACAAAAAAAAAGGAAAGAGTAAAAAGAAGTTTTTACTTTAGCCGAGGGTTTTTATTTTGCAACTCTATAAAAAATAACATACGGAATTAATGTACTGTATTTCTTGTGAGGTTTACACTTTTTTAAAATTTAATGCAAGGTACAGGATAGTACGGAATGTATGACATACTCAAAGGGCACGTTTTTGATTTCATATAAATTATAATTATTATTGTTTTGGGAAAATATATATACTGTGCATTTGATAAATAACTGAATCACTATTATTACAATATTTTTCCATGAAATCTTGGCCCATACAATTTTGGTGTCTTCCAGACCAAATAAATTACAAACGACTTTAATTTTTTTGATTTCGATCTTGGTTTCGATTTTGATTTTGATTTCGATTCCGATCTTGGTTTCGATCTTAGATTTTCAGTTTCGAAATCTAGTGTGTTTTTTGAAAGTTTGAATTTTCTTGATTGAGTCAAGTATGTTTGTTATAAATATATATATATATATACATATATATATATATATATGAGACAACCCAGCGAATCACCTTTCTGACTTTTTTTCCAAATGAGATTTTTGGCACAAATTAATATTAATATTATTCAGTTGTGAAAATCGATCAATTAATTTATTAGAAAATTTAATCTTTTCTGTTTTCACCAAAAAAAAAAAACTCTGTCAGTTCTTTCTCAAGAGAGAGAAATCTTGACATTACGAAAAAGTGTGCACAGTATTTCATATTAATATGGATATAACGGATTTTTGAAATTTTTCTCTGTATCTAATACTAATAAATTATCCAAATGATCCGTATCGAGTCTCACTATATACACGCACCTATAACTATAACTATTACTTTGTTATTCAATTCCAGCCAGTGCCTTTCCGTATTTCAAAAACAAAGTTAAACGGAATAAAGAGGAAAGTCAATAAAATTAATTAGTTATTCAGTTTGGTATTGAAACGTGTCAAACTGGTATATTTATTATTTTAAAAAATGACTTTATTTATCTATGCAAATTTATATTATTTACTGATATTATTATATAAATGTAATCTAAAAAATTTTTTCATGGTGCTGGGATTCTAAGAATATTATTTGGAGTGCCACTGAGAGTCAATGGGTTAAGCAAATTTTTTGTTGATAAATTAATAAGTTTTTTGGCCATTTCAGCAGGAGGTTTGTTACCTTCTTTAGCAATGATTAAAGCAATTGCACCCGAGACATGTGGAGCTGCCTGTGAAGTACCAGTGAGAGTTGTAAATTTGTCATTGGATTTTGCATCGACAGATTGAATGTTGGTGCCCGGAGCAATGATATCCACACAATTTCCAACATTTGAGTATTTAGCAAGAGCATCAATTTTTTCTTCAAGAGCACCAACCGTTATGGCTTCAGGAGCAGAGGCAGGCGATACGAAACAAGCATCAGTAGCATTGTTACCAGCAGCCGTTACTACATGAGCACCAGCGTCGGTTAATGATTTAACAACATTGTTAAGAGCTGCAAGATAAACACCGCCTACTGACACGTTGACCACCGTATTTTTGTTTGAACTTTTTATGTGTTGTTTAAGGACATAATGCAAACCAACAATGACATTGCCTTGACTACCGGTACCATTCGCATCAAGTATCTTGACAGAAATGAGATTAACTTGATTTGCAACACCAACGGTTTTTCCTCCAATTATGCCGGCGATATGACTACCGTGACCTTTATCATCATTATCAGTATCACAACCTGGACCATCACAAAATCTACCTCCTACTTTAGCACGATCTCCAAATTCAACATGTTTTATGTTAATACCAGTATCTATAACGTAGACATTTACACCTTTACCGGCAGAAGCAGGGAATGTGTAAGAACCATCTAGCGGGAGTTTACTTTGGTCAATACGATCCAAATTTGGTAAAAGAGTTTTTTTCGTTATTCCTTTGAAAGGTTCGTTTTTTGAGGGAATAACATTTTTTAATGTTATGGGAGAATCTTTTTCAAAAAATTCGACATCACTACGTGTGGAAAGGTGTTCCTTGACAAATTGTGGTGAAAAGTGAGCTATGTAACCTTTAAGAGATGTTCCTTCTATGGTTAAATCAAGAGCTGTATTTTTTTCAACATTGTGATTAAAGAAACTTTGGATATCAATTGGTTTTTTTTTCACATCCCAACAATCATTTAACCATGATTTATGTCCGTTATCTTCAGCTTTTAAGAAAACCATGTATTTTTCCGTTTTTAAATTAGTAAAATTTGTGGTTTTAAATGAAGCCGCACATTGAATTTTATCATCATCTGGCGATCTGATCAAAGAAGCCAAGAAAATTGTAGCCAATATAACCAAAGATAAAACGGCAGATAAACGAGTAGAGAAAACCATTTTAAATGTATGTTATATTATTAGGTGGGAGATGGATAAGAAAAAAGAAAAAAGATTGTATTTTGAGTGTATGTGTATGCTAATTCTCGCAGAGATTTAGAGGAAAAATTGTTTCTAAAAAAGGGAGGAGAAATTTTTTTTTGAAAAAATCATTTTATCTATTATATAGGAAAAATATTCCTTTAAAAATCCCGCATTTAAACACAAATAAATAAATACATACATTAATGTTAAGGGATTGTACAGTATATATATATATATATATATATATAAAATTTAAAAAAAGCTCCAAACAAGTCTAAATATAGAAAAAGTAGAAAAATAAAATTTTTTCCCTTATATTTTTTTTAAAAAGGTTTCAAAAACTGGTTAATCCGGAGAAGGCATTAATTATTTATATGAATTAATTTTTCGAAACTTTAATCTTCATTCAAGAACGTGTAAAGACCAAACAATTAGTTGCCAATCAAAATGTACACACCAAATAACAAATCATGCATTCTGATTGGATTGTTACCAGTTGTGTAACTTTCCTTTTCCACCCTTTCTGCGCAAAGAACCCTAACCCAAAAAGCAAAAAAATGCTTAATTATTGGTTAAAGGTTCCCAAATTAAGTCAAAAATTTATGAGTGGCTTTTAAATTTAATAATAGGCAAAAGAAACAATGTCAGTTATAAAGTATTACTTTGGCGATGAGAAGGAAACTAACACATATCAATATCAATATTAATAAGTGAATTATATCCTCTTTGAATGATGCGGCTGACTGTTTTGATGTTAATTCATGGGACAATAAAGAATTATCTTCATCATCAAAACAATTAGAATATGAAACATTATATGGAAATGGTCATCGTCATCTTCATGTGCAAGCAAATCATATCAATTGGTTATTTATAATATATTTATTTATTAAATTTAGAACTACACAATCATTAAAAGTTTAGATTTCGAAACATCGAACCAATTGTTATTATTATTATTATTATTATTATTATTATTATTATGTGATTCGAACCATTGAAAATTCGAATCAATTATGTGTCCCCACTGCACGAACAATAGTCACATCCATTTTTAAAGCAATTATTGCAACAAACATAGTTAATAATAAAAATTATAACATTTTTAGTTTAGGTTCTGAAAATTTATACATGAAAAATCTTATTGTTATTAAGATTTAAATTAATATTTAAAGAAAACAAAGCTTTGACCGAAATTTTTTTGAGAAACATTTCTCGCTTCAAAAAAAAAAATAAAAAAAACTATTATTCATGATACTCTTTTTCAAAATAGGTTTTGAACAAATCCTTCGAAAAGTTTTAACCTTAAAATGTCAGCTTTCGATTTGGAGAAATCACCAGCTTCTATAAAAACTATCTAGAATTCATAGAACAACAGCATTAAAAAATATATCTATGGAAAAAAATTGAATTGGTGGTCGTTCTAAATCAATAAATAAAGAGCGCAGAGACAAAGCAGGGTCAGCTTTACCTGAAAAATCTTTATTAAAAAAAGCAACGAATATTTTATCATTCAATAGTCCATGGGTTCGAATCCAAATCGATCAAATCGATCAGTAAGCTCTAACTAAATCCAGTAAGCATTTTATAATAATTATTTATCTATATAAAAAAGGGCTTTCAAACAAAAACATTTTGAAAAAGAAGAATACGATAATGCAAAAAAAGCTGTTCTGTATAGTGAATGGAGAGTGAAAAAGAAGAAATGAAGAGAAAAAGGAATGATGATAGTTTTTTCAATGAGCTAGGAGCTACTAAATCAGAGATTACTATCTTTCTTTCTTTTTCTTTTGCCTGTTTCTACCTGTGCAGTTGAACATTCAGGTCTGAAGCAAAAGTTGATAAAGTTTCAGAGAACTTAACAGTGGGCGGATTTATCCGGCTGCTAAATTTTATTCGTTTTAAAACCCGAATAGTCGGTCAAAAATTAAACTTTTGGTACAAATAGAATATATATATATCTATCTATTTAGTAATTCAGATAAAATTGGATTCAATTTTGTTCGTTAGGCTGTCATTGTATTTACAGCCTCACCGAACAAAACGTTCACTTGGAATAAAAGTTTTTGTAACACATCACATAAATCCTTTTTAGCCAATGATAACAAAGTTGGATATTTATTTTTTATGATTCCTTCCACTTCATAAACGGATCAACCCCAGTAATAATAGTAATAGATGTTGGTCAACCTAGAAAATTCAAAATATTGATAATTATTACTGGATCCTGATTACTTTAACAAAGTCTGAAATTTGTTTTAGATGACATTAATATCATTTTATATGCTTTAGTTGTTTTTAACAAATTAAAAATCTCTTTGTTTAGCGGTTAGATTTTTCTAATAATATACAAAAATATTTTGAAATATTAATATGTAATTAATTGTTTTATAATGAATAAAATAAATGCATCCTTTATACGATACCTTTTCAGTATGTTACAAATTCCGTTACCAATTCCATATTTCACACTAAATTTAAAAAGGGAAATTTTTCAAAACCGTATATATATATATTTTTAAGAACGCATTTAACACACGTTAATTCCATATTTTTCTTTTTTAATAATCAGAGTTTCTCTTGACTGTTCTCTTATTTTTATCTTAATAAAATGTTTAATCTATTATGAAAAAGAAAGTTAAATTTATAAGTTTCCAATAATTTATTTGAACTCTTTGAAGAATTTAAGAAATATCGTAATTCTAAAGACAAAGGTGTGCGTGGTTTGAGAAAAATAAAAGACAAAGAACGGTTAACAGTTGGTTTTACCACAATGATTTATTATCAGCAAATTTGTACCCAGCAGGTAACAAAATATAAATGACATTGGTTAATTGTCGTTAGGCAAAAAGAACAATATATACACATGTAACCCATCATGAATTGTTTTTAAGTTATAGTTAAACAAAATTTACACGTCAACTAATTTATTTGGCCCTCTAAAAAAAGAACTTATACAAAAAAAAAAGAAATAATAATTTACAACAAATTTTAATATTATGCAATAAATCTAAAATCTAAAAAATTAAAAAATTCTATTTTTTTTATGGTGCTGGAACTCTAAGAAAGTTATCTGGAGAGCCTTTAAGATTACCACCAATTACACCCTTTGTTGATAAATCAATAACTGCTTTGGCCATTTCAGCGGGGGATTTGTTACCGCTTTGAGAAATAATTAAAGCAACAGTACCAGTAACATGTGGAGTTGCTTGTGAAGTTCCATCAAAGATAGCTATTCCATTTGCAGTGCCTGCTTTAGCGGATTGAATATTAACACCTGGTGCAAAGAGATCTACACATTTTCCAACATTTGAGAAACTAGCAATTACATCTTCTTTCTTTACAGCGCCCGTAGAATCAGTAGCACCAACAGTTAGAGCTGTTTTTTCACTGGAGGGTGAATCTTTACATGCGTCAGCACCCTCATTACCAGCAGCTACTACTACATGAACACCAGCAGTGGTTAACGACTTGACGGCATCATTGACAGCTTGAGAAAAACTACCACCTAATGACATGCTGGCTATTGAATTTTTGTTTTTACCCTTCGTGTGTTGGTCAAGAACAGAACTTAAACCAGCAATCACCCCAGTATTACTACCAGCACCCTTAGCGTCAAGCACTTGGATAGCAATAAGACTACATTTAGGTGCAACACCAAAGGTTTTTCCACAGGCTGTACCACTAACATGAGTACCGTGACCATTAGGATCATTGCCTTTCACACATCCATCACAGAAACTACCGCCATCTGTAACACGACCTTTCAAGTCTTGATGATTTGGATCAATACCAGTGTCTACAACAAAAACATTTACACCTTTGCCTGCAGCATCAGGGAAAGTGTACTCCCCATCCAAGACGAATTTTGCTGAATCAATACGATCCAGATTTACTAGTTTAGTTGCTTTTTTTGCCCTTTTGAAAAGGTTGTTTGGAACGGCATACCTTATGGACACAGGAGCATCTTTTTCAACATATTTGACTTCACTACGTTTAGAAAGTATTTTGGTTGCAAATGACTCTGTGAAGCTGGCAATATAACCTTTCATATCTGTACCTTTAACAGTAAGATCATATGACATCTTAGTGCCCGCACATTCCTTTAACCATAGTTTGTGTTCATCTTCGTTAGATTTTAATGAAACTATGTATTTAATTTTTTTTTCAGAAGAAGTAATGTTGGTGCTTTGAGTTGCAGGTCCACAATCCATTTTAGCGGATTCAACCAAAGAAGCCAAGAAAAATGTAGCCAATACTGACAAAGATAAAAAGTTGGTAATGTGAACCATTTTTAAGAGGAAAAAAAAGAAGGTAGTTTATTTTAATTTATTTGTGTGTGGTTGATTAATGCGTAGTGTATACTAAATATCTCACAGAGATATTTAAAAAGATCGTATATATATTTTTTTTTTTTTAATTCCAACCTCCTGGGCTAGCTAGTTAACGAATGAAATTTATTTACTGGTAAAAGAATAAAAAGGAAGATTTATTTGAGATGATGGTGTGCTTTTTCTGAGAATTATTTCCTCCTTTATATAATGAAAATAATGAGGTCATCTGCGTTTCATTTAATATTATTATTAGCTAGTAGATTTGTTTCATCCAATATTTTAATTGGTACTTTGGTGATCATTTCTAAATTAGCATTGACAAATTTTTTTAAAGGTTTCAAAATTAATTAATCGTTTTAAAAATAAACAATGCTAGTACTAAAATGATTGATTGAATAGAAGAAAGTGTTCAGTATTGTTAATGTTGTAATCTAAATTAATTATAAACTTCAATTTATTCTCTCGTTACCTTCCTTTATTTCCTTTATTTCCCTTATTTCCCTTATTTTTTTTTTGAAATTCGTCTTGGCATTTTTTTTTTTTTAGAGAAATAAGGGAATAAAGGTTATAAACAACAACAAATTTTCATTATTATTAAATGGCTATTATTCTACTCTTTCTTCTATCAGTGAAATTTACTTTATCTGGTATAATTTCAAAACAAACGTGCATTTTATACCTATATAATAATAATTATAATAATTAGCCCTAACCCAAACAGAAACTCACGAAATTAATTTAGGAAAAAATTAAACTTTAAATTATTGCCAAGCAACGTTTTGATTGAGTAGAAGCTGCAGTGCTTCCATTAACAAAATTTTATTCATTACTCACGCACGACTACAGAAACTTTTAAGTCCTAATCAATTTTCATATAACAAGTTTACCCATTTTATATCAACTGACTTTTTTAAAAAAATGTAATTTAATTTTTGCATTTTTCACTTTTTCTATATGTTTTCCATTCTTGGTTTGCTTGAAACCTCGATTAGAAAATTCCAGAGTCTTCATTACTCTAATAATACTAAGTGGTCACTTTATAAATAATAATAATATGAATATACTTTTCTTATTTTGGAAATTTTAATAAAGAACACATTTGATATATTTTCATCTACAGATATATAGATGGTTGCATGAGACTTGAGTTTTGTGTATGGTAAGCGCAAATACATTTTGAGGCTCTTTGTCCATCAACTTCGAAATAATTTATTTATTCAAGCTCTATCTATTGTAGAAAACTTCTACATTTTCATCATCACTAATTTTTGTTACTATATATACAGTGCCATTACAAATATTTGCTTCAAATAAATTTGTTGTAGTCTCCTAAACTTTTTAGATGTTGTATCACCACCATTGGAGATCTGGAAACTTCTAATTGGTCCCAAGCAAAACCAATGGCGAAAAACATATAGAAAGTCACCATTATTGATAGGGTAAAATTATTGTGGATGCATTAAAAGGTTCAAGACTTTTAAGGGTAAAATTTTTTATCTACAATGAAGAATGGGTAAGATTGATAAGGTCACTATTATGTTCGGGTACAGTTCACTTTCTTTATAACGGTTCATTGGGATTAGAAAAAATATCCGTTATTAGTTGGACGACATTTCACGCAGTCATAGTAATAGTCGCTGATTTTAATATATGATCGACGTGGAACGTTTTCTGTACAGCGAATGAATTGAACGTGTGAAATAATCACCTACTTTTGACCTTTAAAACGCAAGCTTTATGCGTCTGCAGCTCTCCAGTTTATGTAATAATAGCCTCTCAAAGAAACCTATGGTTTTTGACTTTGGAAGCTTAATTCTTTTTGGAAATCAGCTCTATTGAGATCGTTTTAGCGTGATAAGACCATAGTATATCGAGAGCTTTCAGAAAATATATGGTTTGCATAGATTTCTTGGGGAAGGAAGAAATTAAAAGCAAAAAATGGTTTTATAAGTTATTTATTATTATAAGAACTTTTCAACAATTTTTTTTTTAACTTTTGTTATATTAATAATGATTAGACAATATATGGAAACAAAATCTTTTAATTGGAGTTTCTACCCAAAAAGTTACAAAAGAAAAATATTGATTAATATTCTTTATTATTATTAATAAATTAATAATAATTATTATAGATGATAATAATCTTTAAATTTAAAGCTTTTGTTTTTTTATTATTTAATCCTTTCCTTGTATGTGAATGCCTCCATCAATCAAATATTCATGATGGTCATGATTATTATTCAATGTATTTGATATCATCATTGGCATAACGAACAATTGCATCACACAAGTAGTAATGACTAAAATTATTTTCTACCGTTACATATATAATGTTAATAATAAAGCCTTTTCTTATTGTATATGTTTCTCTGATAAGAAGAAATGCTAATGAAACTCGAAAAAGATAAAAGAATGGAAGGTTTATTGTTCTTATCAGTAATAATATCAAAACTCGTATGTTATGGAACTTGAGATCTTTACAATCTCCGAGATCGCCAAAATTTGTCTTATTTTTTTATTCTACAAAAGCGATCGTCAGACTGGAGGTTTAATTTCCCCTATAAAAGGCGAAATATAGTCTATGGCTCATATATTTAGTGCTTGGCGCTTGTGACATGGCTTGATTTATGAAGAAAGGATCTGGAAAATGGTTGGCGTAACATAATTACTATTTATATAATTTTTTTCCTAGCGAGTAGTGAATAAATAAACTGGATTTGTGAGGCACCATTCCTTACCTTTTCGCAATTTTTACAAGGTAACGTGTTTGGTTTGCTGGAGTTCATTATGCATTATTTACAATAAGGACACTATCCATTGTAAATGAATTTTTACCTATCTAGGAAACGAGAAAATGGCCAACAATATCGCTTTCAATTGTATCGTTATTCTTAATAACCCACGTAATCAACTTTTAACCAATAACGTTTCCCTCATAATTAAGAAATGGGTCAGTTGATGATCTACAAACAGCAATTCAGAATCAAATTTGTCATCCTGGACCTGTAGACGAAAGACGTATACGATCACCAGCTCTAATTTCTAGTTTTTTTCAACAGGGATCCTCCTGAAAATGTATATCATTGCATACACAGTTAATGGATAATAATTTTTTTTTATTTATGTCTGCAGTATGTAACTGCGATATATTTTTTTTTATTTTATGTTGTTATTTCGGTAACATTTTTTATATATCAATAAAGTAAGGTTCTATGTAACCATTTGTCTCGATCAGAATTATGTGGATGTCCATGCTTTATTTTCATCAAAATCACGTGCGTTCCAATTTGGAGATCACTTTGCTAGAAAAAAAAAAATTAAGATATTAATATGTCTCACAAATCTAAAAGTAACAGACAAAAAACTCAAGGTAGATTCACCAATAATCCTAAACAGTATATGCAATTTTTAAACTGGGATAAGTACATGCAAAGAAAAGACAAAGATCACATTACTATCATAAATAAGAATACGCAAGATGTGAAAGCGATTTTTGATTATGTAGAGGTATGTAGATATCTAGAGATAAATAATCTCGATTCGGATATTCTCAACATGTAGTGGAAAATTATCGGATATTAATAATTAATTAGCTTATTTTGAAAAATTAATGTAAAATAAAATGAAATTATATATGCAAATCGACTTCCAAGTCAGTTTATTTATATGAAAATAAAAAAAAAGATACGGGATATACCTATACAAAAAAATGACGATTAGTTTTGTTTGAATTCTTTGAAGCTTCTTTTCCGAGATGGCGAACTTGGTGGGGATGTAATAGTCGATAATGATGATGTTGATGCTTGTGATAGGTCAGACGTAATTGACATTTTTTCGTCCAAATCATCACGAGTATCCATTATTTTGCATATTGTACATATTATCGCAGTTCTGAAAGTTAAAAGCGTGTGGATAATATGGTAAACGTTATCCGGATCTGTACGCATGATATGTAATGTGATAATTGCTTGTTCAAGCAAGCAATTTTTATATATTGATTTTAAGTCCATGCATCGAAGCTCCAATGCTTCCCCAACGGCATTAATAGTAAATATTGATAATATCTTTCATTGCCATTTTCCTGAACAATCTTTCATATTTTGGATTCCTTGTGATATCAATGGAATCTTTTGAGAGCCTATTGAGCTTTTTATGATCTCGTATTTGCTTATCCTTAGAAGAGTCTGGTCGACCAGTTTCTAGATATGCAAACTCAATAGGCTTATTTTTTATTCGTATAACAACTCTAAAATCAGGTCTTCGTGCATGCTTAAATGATCCTTTCCGTTCTGCACTAGCTAAACTTGCTTCATTGCCCCTTTTTTTAAAAGCGTATTATTAATGGTATATAAAAAAGAGAGTTTTTGTTTAAAAATACTAAATCATATTTACCAAGCTCCCCATATAGTATATTCTATAGGCAAATTACTCATTACAATATTTACCAACGGCGAAATAACCTCACAAACATATGAGCCTTTGCTTATTTTTGGCTCCTTTGATGTAACATATAACCTCTACTTTGGGGATTCCCAGACCCGACTGAATGCTTCTGCAATATTTTGGGCCTATCTAAAAACTTACCAAATACTGCATTGCCAACTAATTTAGGGGACCCCTCAAGATATTTTTTCTTTTCACTTTGGACGAACTTCTCCAGGTAGCTTGTAATTTGGCATCTATTGGTATTATATATTTTCTACTTGATGATCTAAAAATATTACGCAATTCTTCTGACATTTCTGTAATAGGTTCCGAGCTATCATCCATTATTCCAGAAGATAGTGGATGAGCATAACCTAAATTTCCAAGATTATTTTCTGCAATTCTCCCTCTACAGTTTTCCACATAATCTCTTCATCCCCTGATGACACCAATGCCAACTAAATTCCGTATATTAATCATTAGAAAGATAACCAAAAAAAGTACAAGCTTTATTATCTTAGACATAAACCTTATGCACTCCATTTTCCAGTATCTCGAAATTCCTCCTTGCATCACTGAGCCAAGGTTTTTCCATATTCTGTGGTGATTCAAACTTCTTTGTTCTATTTACGAGGTTTGATTTCTTCACATTCTGAGATCATAAAAAATAATCATTTATGATGAATATAGATTTTCTTTGAAACAATAAAACAAAGTAGAACGTACCAAAGCATTGATCTCTAATGAAGATATAATGTAATCGGGTCTGGGACACTTTACCGACAATCTAACCTTGACGTAGAAATGGTCTTGCGAGGAACACCACAACCCCCACAGAAACCACAAGATCGTAATCGTGAAATATGGATTCAAACAGTATTAAATGACCGTAACATTAGATCAACTATAAAGTTTCTTCGGGGCATTGCCCATAATATTTCATTTTAAAATTTTTTTTTGTTATTTTTTTAAAGAATTTTTTTTTTGTGTATAAAATAATAATTAATGTGTCACAATAAAAGTTTTTGATAAATAAATTTAACATGAATATGCAATTTTTATCAATTTCGTCAGACAAAAAAAAAAAATATATTACACATGTATTTTTTATGAACTTGTTTTTGATGCAAAGTAATAAGTGGTGTTATTAGTTAATTAACGGTTGGTTTAATTTGTTATAAAAACCAAATACAGTCCTTGGCAAATTGTTAACACAATACTTATCGGTAAAGTGTCCTGTCGGTAAAGTGTCCTATCGGTTAAGTGTCCTGTCGGTAAAGTGGGTGTCGGTAAAGTGTCCGAGTCCGAATGTAATCAAATGCTTCCAATACCTAAAAAATAAAGAATATCGATCAGCCAAATAATAAATATATTGCGCTGATCAGATTGGATTTTTCCTTTTTCATATAGATTTTCAAAATAGGCTAGCCAATGGGCTTCTATTATAGGAATTGGTTGAGAAACATCAATGACCTTTGCGAAAAGGTAACAAAGTACAAGCAACAAATGTTTTTCATCCAATACAACCTCAGCAGGAAGATCAACATCAGTTGATATCACCTTTGAGCCCTAATCATTGATTTTTTTATTAAGAATTTTCTGAAAATCATCTAAAAAGAAGCAGCCAAATTTCATCCAAGTTATCTGCTTATAATAATAATTAATTCTTTTTAATAACATTAATCTACTGGTTTAATCAAGAGTGAATGAAAACACTAATTAATTTTAGTATTTTTAATGATAACAAAATAACAAAATTAATTGGTATTTATTAATCATTTGACTATAGGTTCGTTTTTTTTGAAAAAATCAAAACCGTGGAAAACGCAGAATTAGAGATGTGCTGCGCATAGTGTGTTACGCATAGTGTGCTACGCATAAGGTTTTAGATATATTTTTTTTATAGACATTTACTTATTAATAAACATTTCTAAAAAAAAATTAAATATGCCATTTACTTTCTTATTATTATATGCGCATTTATGATATTTCCCTCCCTATGATATATGCGCACTATGCTACCATGCGCACGATACACACTATGCGCGAAAAAAAATCACAGTTACTATGAATGGCACATCTCTACGCAGAATACAGTATTATGGCAAACAAATATAATCTGATACATATCCAATCCAGATCAATATCAAAAATAGTAAATTTCGTGATTATAATTCTCAACAGAATAAACTTAGAAACATTGATATCGAGCCTTTTTTAATTGAAATAAAATAGGAACTGATCTGAAATTGAAAATGTAAAGGTTATTTTTTTATCCAATGAGAAGGCATTTTCAAGCGGAATTGTTTTCTGTGAACTCTTTTCTCGTCGATCTTAAAATAATTTGTTTCCTTTCAGAGTAAATGTTGGAAAGATAACCTCAACAACTTTTCCTTCTTGATGGTTTTTCTTTCATTTTCTGGTGACGCCAAGGACCTTTTATTTTATTTTTGTTGAAAAGACCGCTTGATTAAAGGAATATCTTTAGTTGGTAAATGTCGGCATTTTATGATTGGTAAACAACACTCTTTTACAAAAACTTAAAGCAAAAACTAAGCAGTGTTTTATACCAAAGCAACAACCTTACTACCCGTTCTTAACATTAATACTAACCTCAGAGTTTTATACTACAAAAGTGTTTTTTATTAAGAGAAGCAAGAATTATCTTATTTTATTAAATTATGAAAATGTTTATTACAAAACAGGTTACAGTCTACTCTATAATAATAACGGATCATTCTATAACGGATTTTCCTTTAAAATTTTGTCCCGATTTTTTTACTATTTGAAATCTCTCTTTATAACAGATATAGTTGGCTCGATTTAAAGACCTCCTAAATTTTGGGCAAATTTTAAAAGTATAGAAGTCATTTTCTGTCCTACCTTTTAAAAAAATAGCTCTATTAGTTGATAGAATATGTCTTTAGTTTTAATGTAATAGAGAGATTTTCTCAAAGAAATTATTTGTTGTAGAGTTCTATTCTTTTTTAAAGCATGTAGTTCATATGCTTTTTCAAAATTAAAATCTTGAATATCTGGACCATTTAATAAAATCATTAAATGATAATAAATAAAAATACGTTTGTTATTTTTAGTTATCAATAAAAATAGGATTATACCAAAAACATCAATGATTTATTGTTAACAAAAAATGGAATTATTCTAATATAATAAATAAAAAATATGTCTAGTTGTTTTCGGTTATCATATCGAAGCACCAATGATTTATTGTTAACAAAAATGGAATTATTCTAATATAATAAATAAAAAATATGTCCGTTTATTTTTGGTTATCATACTCGAAACATTGTTAATAAAAAATGGAATTTTTCTAATATAATAATAATAAATAAAAAGTATGTCCCTTTATTTTTTGGTTATCGTACCCGAAGCATCAATGATTTATTGTTAACAAAAAATGGAATTATTCTAATATAATAAATAAAAAATATGTCTAGTTGTTTTTGATTATCATACCGAAACATCAATGATTTATTGTTAACAAAAATGGAATTATTCTAATATAATAAATAAAAAATATGTCCGTTTATTTTTGATTATCATACTCGAAACATTGTTAACAAAAAATGGAATTTTTCTAATATAATAAATAAAAAGTATGTCCATTTATTTTTGGTTATCATACCGAAACATCAATGATTTATTGTTAACAAAAATGGAATTATGTCCATTTATTTTTGGTTATCATACTCGAAACATCAATGATTTATTGTTAACAAAAATGGAATTATGTCCATTTATTTTTGGTTATCATGATTTATTGTTAACAAAAATGGAATTTTTCTAAAATAATAAATAAAAGTATGTCCGTTTATTTTTGATTATCAATAAAAATAGAATTGAACCCAAAAACATCAACAAAAGTTGATATAAATAATTTTAATAGTTTTTTTAAAAACTAAAATCACGTGAAGTCCTATTTATTGAAAAATTTGAACAAATTACAAAATTGCCACGTAGCGCAGCAATAGGAAGTCTTTAAACCGAGCCAACCATATTATTAATTAAATTTGTATAACATATGCCAGATTGCATCTGAAAAACATTTCATATTAATATCGATATGACTTGTATGTCTAATAACGGATTCACGTGATCTAAAAATAAAAAAAAATATGCAAATTAATTAAATCTTAATAAATAAATAATGATCTAATGTACCAAAGTATAGAAAACAATAAATTGAATTTCTTGATTTGAATCCACTTAATTCAAGCTCTAAATTAATTTATTTTGTTTCTTCATTTTTCAAAATGTTATAAATAAAAAGAAAATCTTTAACTGCTTTGGTAAAAAGAGAGATTTGTATAGTAAGGCAGACAATTCCAATTCCAACAAACAAAGAATTACGTAGCAACAACTTAAAGTCGAAAAAATAGGATTTAATACCTAAATCAGATGGTTTTTTTTAATATAACATTGAATAGGTTTTTTTTTATGTAATATAAATAACAAACGCTTATTTTTTTTTGTTTTAGTTAATAAAATTCACGCAAACTTTATAAACTGGTTAAAAAGTGAACTTATTTAAAATTTTATGTTAATAGTTGAACCAACAATTAATTACGATCACATAGATCAGTAGGATAAAAGTAATTAAGAAAGATAATTAATAAGCATCACGGTCACATAGATCATGTAAAATCGCAAGATAAAAATCATCCAAGCCGTTCAACAAAGCACAAGAAGGTTGGTGTGTAGTCATGTAAACAAGTCGTTACTATCAGAAATCGAAGTTTTCTTTTTTCGATAAGAAATTTTTTGGGAAACGCTCTGCAGTTTAAATTTTTATATTAATACATAACAAGAAATCCGGAAGTTAAAAAGGGGGTGCCAGAATGATAAAACTCTTTGGATATGATTGAACATGGCGAAGAATTAAATTGTGAAAATGTG